CAGTAGCGAAGCGGTAAACCGGGTTAAGTCGATTTTGACTTTTGGCCATTTTTTGACAAATATCTCGGAATCTAAGAGAGATAGCAAAATTTTGCTCATTACCTTTTTTATAACCCTGAGTTGACTCTACAAAAAAGGTCATGACAAAAATTTTTCTATCTCTTTTAGATTCCCAGATATTTGTCAAAAACTGGCCAATAGTCAAAATCGACTTAACCCGGTTTACCGCTTCGCTACTGAATATAATATAGTATTATCGCAATATCTTTAATATATGCTATCATCATTATCATTTATAAAAAACCTAATGACACAATACGCTAAACACGTAGATTGGCTTTAAAAAAACTATTTTTTATTGAAGGACTCAAGAATTTTTGGAACTGTTCACAGGAAAAAAATCGGGCAGGAGAGGAATGACGGGCTGATCCCGCCGGGGCCGGTGAAATCGCGGCTCTCCGACAGATCCAATACCAGGTGAGTTTCCAAAGACTTATAAAAACATCATTCCGACAGCCACGTGCCCCCAGAATGTTCTAATCGAACTATCGAGAATGCAAAATGCCACGTGAATAGGCAAATTAGCGTCCGGACCTTTGACGCTTCCCGAATAAATAACCGCCGAACGATAGAACATTGTGCGGCCTTCACCTTACCACAAACCCACCTCCGCATTCCCAGGTCAATTGACGATGGCACATTGTCCCCGACCTTGCCTCCCCCGCAATCGAGCCGCCCACCGGATGAGGGCCGAAAATCCCCGATGAATATGAATCCCCAGAGTCGCGATCTAAAGACGCCCAAGAGATCCAAGAGAATTAATTCCGCGCCTCCAAAACCCCGTAATGCCAAGGCCAGTGATGTCACGGTTGACTCGGATGTGATTAATACGACAGCGCGGCCTTGTGGCGTCGATAGTAATTCGAGGGAGTTGAGCGAGTTGATTACCTGGAAGCAGATTGCTGCTAGCCCAACGGTGTCGGCTAGCTTCGACGATAAACGACAGCCCGAGTGGACTCGAAGTGTAGAGAAATTGGATCGGACTTATCTGATCAAGGAATCGAGAGAAGTTTGTCTCGCTCGAGTGAGACCTGATTCGTCTTATGCGATCACACCCCCGAGAATGGAAGAATTCCCCGCTGCGGGGGGCGATAAATCTTTCGTTGTCGATCGGAATGAAGAAATTAATGATAAAACCCCACTGTCGCCCCCCAGACCGATAGACCTCTGGGAATTCTCGAAAATAACGCGGATTCCTCCCATTAAAATCTCCGACGCGATACCAATGACCGCCGACTCGCTCGATTCAGCCAGATCCAGTGGTAATTTCGTGAGGAAACGGTTACGAAAGAAGATGAACCTCCTCCGGGAGAGCACGGACTCCCTGGTGTCTTCGTTTGACGCGTCGAATGACAACGCGCAGCCTGACAATTCTTCAGGAGACAAATTCCAAGTGTTGCCGAGCGTTGCGGGGGTTCCGAGAGAGCCCCCTTTCCGCCAGGGCAGAAGGAGAGTCTCGTATTGGGAGAGAGCCGTGAGAAATTCTAAGAATAGGCTCGGGACTCTCGCACTCCGGCGACTCGAGCCCTCGAGAAATCCCTTGATCCTTCCCCCGGTGATTTCGCTTCATCAGAGGTAATGAGTGCAGTGGGAAAAGGGAATTTTATTTTGAAATTCACATCATCCTCACGCTGTTTAGATAGTGATATTCGTTGGATCACGAAGGAAGAAAGTCAATTGAAAAACTAGCGAATTCGTTAGGAAATTCTAGAGAATCTCGATTGGAATTCTATCGAAAAATTCTATTTGTTTTTTGCGTTGAATTTCGAATTTCTGTTTGGAATTTTCGCTTGAGATTTTTTCTGTAAGAATGAGCATTAATTTCCTAAATTTTTTCACCCTCTGTAATGGAAAATAAAACAACATCCAGTGGAAAAAACAGAAAATTTGTGCCCAATAATTTCTGATGGAAAAAATTTCAAGACAAAAATTCCAACAGAAATTCGAAATCTATTGATTTTTCTTATTGAATATTTAATAGAATTTTTCAACAGAATTCCAATAGAATTTTCGAGCAAATTCCCTAGGTTTTCTATCGAATTTTTTCATACGTGATAGATAATTCCTCTGGGTTCACGTTTTTTCCTTCTATTCCAAACTGATAATAGGGATTAACTATTAGACAACAGATTGTTGTCAGCTATTGATGTGTAAACCTTCTAGGAGTTCCGAGGACGAGAAACGTCCAGCGTGGAGCAATTATGTTCGCAGGCGTCCGGATTTTAATCTCATACTCAAGGGTAGAACGTAAGTTCCAACCGTAACCACTAATCACGACCGGAGTTGGGCACTATTTCATAAAAATCAAGTGGAAATACTATTTTAAACGGGTATTTCAAATTGACTATTTCGATCTGTCAAAAAATATTCATTTATTGTCACTTTTTCAATCGAAATAAAATAGATATTTGGTACTTAATTCTAATGTTACTTGAAATTATTTATCAAATTAATATTCGCTTTAAATAAACTAATAAACACATTACATGATTATTTTATTTGGTATGTGTTCGATATTTTGAAAAATTGTTCCCTCTAATCCAATTTTTTCCCGTTAAAAAAATTTCTGGAATGAAACGAAAAAAATCCGAGGAAATTCGATGAATTATTTCAAATGGCATTTTGCCCAGCTCTGATCACATTCCCCACATTACTCGTCTCGTACTCATTATGAATTCATAGATTTTGTGTGATGCCAGCATGTCCGTCGATCCACCACGACATCAATTATTCGTGCAGCCTCACGATGACAATTAATTGTCCAACCCACCGTTTGCGATTTTCCTCATCATTCCACGCGAAGAGAAACATTCAATAAAAATTACCAGAAAAAAAACGCAGAAATTCCGTTTCGAGACGTATTAGTCCGCGAATGAAGTAAAATTCAATAAAAAGTGCGAGTCGCAACTGAAGTTGTACGAATCGCCACGTAAATTCTACGATTCTACGAAATTCTACGAAAAATTAACCACCCGTCTGACGACTCACCGCAGTTCCGTAATTTTTCCCCAACGATTGAGAAATTTTACGGAACGGAACGTAGAAATAACTCACCAGCTTCATAAAAATCGTTGAACGTTCAAGAATTGTTGATTTTCGTGGCACAATAAATCGTCAAGTTTCTGTAAGATTTCCCTCCCCCGGGAAAAATTACGCGACAATTTCGTACTTTGTTCGGTGATGAACCTGAAAATTCTCTGAACGTTTCAGATTTCTTCTCTTCCATTCCCACAAAAATTCCCGGAAAACGGCTCCCACTGCGGATTACGTGAATTGTTCCGTAATTTTTACTGAATATTTCTCTCGCTGCATTGAATTTCAGATCATGTAGCACTGTTCGCCGCCCGACACTTCCCCCGCGGGTCCCTGAACTCATCTGAACGAATAATTTTCATTCCAGTGGCATTAGCTCCGATTACGATCCGTTTCTCCTGGCGGAGCGGCAGATGCTGGACCTCCTCTCGGACACGTGCAGCGACCAGTCCTTCCCGGACTCCCCCAGCAGTCACCACAAATCCGCACCCCCTCACTATCCCCTGTCCCACTCATCCGCATTTGTCAAATACCCAAATCTCATAAGTCTAGACAGTCGTAAAACCAACAAACGAGGTTCTCTCATAGCGCCGCCCACGGAATTCGATGATTTGTCAACAGGTTTCTCCTCAGACTCAACCGAAACAAATTCCATATCCCGCGAGCTCTTCATTAACCAGAATCAAGCCAATAAAAATAACAATAACAATCACCAACCGATTTTGGGTAGACGAATAATAATCGACAAATCGAAAGCTCTGGGTCAAGTGGGTGATGTTTTTGGGGAGGCGATTGACACAAAATGCAAAGAGAATTCTGCCGCGACGAATTCAAAGAGAAATAATGAGAAAGTGTCGCCAACAGTTGTGAGGCCGCAGATCAATCGTTCTAATTCCCTCAGAGCCGCATCGGCGCCGAAAATTCCCGAGCGGAACAACTCCTCGTCATTAGCGACGAACAGATCAAACACTAGATCGAATTCAGGATCGGGATTGCCGAGCAGAAACAATAACTATTCCAATCTGAGTGGGAGTAATTTAAGCCTCAGCTCTATTATTTCCTCTGAGATTGAAGTGAAACACTCGAATTCCGTGTTTGAGGACCTCGTTAGTTCGTTTGAGGATGATGTTTCGGGCTCATTTCCCTCCTTGAGGTCCTTACTGAAAAATGATTCCTTCTCCAGTCCCATTCAGCCCAGTCGAAACGGCCAGCTGAGTGATGAGGATCTTTCGTCGCCAGACAGTTATCATAAGAAGGATCTCAATAAACTCAGTGCTGACTCTGCTTACAGCAGGTGAGAAATGCCATAGAACTCGCGATAGAACCTAGCGAATTCGTTAGACAATTCTGTTAAATTTCTAATAAACTTTGTGTCAGTTTTCGGCTGATTCTATTGACATGTTTAACAGAAAACATTCAATAGAAAAAGGCAACAGAATTCGATTTTTCTATGTAATTTATTCTTTTCATATATTTTCTATAGAATTTGCTCGACTCAAATTTTCCAAGTTTTTTTCTTTCTATTTTTCTTTTCTTCTCATCAAGAAAATCGAACGAAAAAACTTGGAAAATTTGAGCCGAGGAAATTCTATAGAAAATATCTCAATAGAATATGTTATACAGAAAAATTGAATTCTATTGACATTTCTACTAAATATTTTCTATTGAACATTTTAATAAAATCGACGAAAAACTAATAGAACAGTTAAATAGGAATTCAATAGAATTTTTCAACGAATTCGATATCAGATCGTTAGTTACCATGATAAATGATGCATTCACTATTTCCTCTCTATCGGACTTATTTCTTAATCTTTATTAACAATGCTCTTTGAAAATGTTCATTTTTTTTCTACTTTTTAATTCAATTAATTTAATTCTACAATCATAATTTTTATGGGCTCCTGCGTGATATAAAATCCAATGGAAATTGATATATTTTACCCAATGAACATGGAAAAATAATCAAGATGACGCTCGAAAAATAATCCACCGGGCCCTAAAAAACAATAAAAAATTCAAAAGTCTCATTGTGTCTCATTCGCTCCCAGAATTAAATTATTCTATCCCCCAGGCAGAACAACGTAGAATACCCCCAAACAATGAGTTTATTTTCCACATCACAAATTGCTTTTTGTTTCTCACGTTTCTCAGTTTGAATCGAAAATATTCCAATGGACGCAGCACCACCGACGTAGCTGGAAAGTTGGGTGAACAAACCCCACTTCGCCATCGGGATAACGAAGTGTCATCATCTCTGAAATCGAAAATGTCAAAATTCTGTCACGAATGCGGCACAAAATTCCCGCAAACTGCCAAGTTCTGTTGCGAGTGTGGGGTCCAGAGGCTAGCGATCTGAAGCTGCAGTCCTCACGAAGAATGAAACCCTTTTATTTGTTATGATTTCACAAATTATAACTTCCGTTTTGTAATAATTGACCTAGACTGAGGAATTATTTAATATGCTTTTATCCGATGAATGAGTGATGAAATTCCAATCTCGCTCATTTATCGTACCGTCTTATTTTTAATAATAATGTCTTTAATGGCTGCCATTTAGAGTAGAAAAGAAAAATGTGTGATTTTTATATCCATCTTTTATACAATCTGGTGAATGGTGAAACCTTGAGAAAGAATAATAAAATTGAGAACTATCTATTTATGATAATTGCGCCTGCAGTGGGCATTGAGTATTAATAAAAGTAACGTCAGTCCGCCGAGAAGGGAAAAGAAATGAGAGAGTGAGTGAAGACAACAGTTATCTCTTGAATCTAGTGGCCATAAAAAATTTATAAAGTATTTTTCAGATATTGGAGGCGAGAAACCACGAGAGAATCTAGTAACTAAGGATTTATTTACGAAGCAATCACTAATGCGTAGATAGGAAATTAGACAATTACTTTCTCTGTACTCGAAACTGTATTTTTGCAAGTGCAATGAATCTACGCTTGATGTATGTACATAGAAAAACAGTCGTTTGTTATTCTCCCGTCCTAACCAAGTGGCAGTGACAAATGATTTTTCTGAAATGTTTTTGCTGAAAGCGATATCTCAAAAATTAGGGAACAATTTGAGGCAGGAGGTACCGAGGTGCTGCCGAATGCTGCATATTAATGTCAAACCACTCGGCCAGTCGAAATGCAAGGGAGAAGACACTGTGAGTTTTTCGGGACGTGCAGAGGCGAGTGGGGTACAATGGGCATTCGTGATTTTTTAACGACTGACTGAATTTTTGGGAAATGGGATAATTTTTTTTATTTAAGGGGCGACTACTATGAGTTTTAAAAGTCGCGGGCGATTGGAGTGATATTTTTCGTAGATTGAAGATTGATTATATGTATTTAAAAACGAATAATTAGCGCAAAAAATTAGTTATTTATTGTTCGTTTGCTCCCCACACGCTTAAAATGTTAAGAATAGTGCAGGGCCTCCAGTTTTTTAGCTCCAGAGGTTTCTTTTTTCTGTTGAAAAAATATGTGCAGTAATAATTATGAATTAGTTTCTAGAAATTTCACTCCTAGCTAATTTTACTTCGTTTATAATAAAAAAATCCCGTCATTCATTCAGAATATGCAGAAAAATTATCCTTGAAATATTTAAAATATATTCTCGATTGCTTCAGAAACATTTCTCGGGCTATTTTACATGAAATAGTGAATTGATAATTCGCAATTGTTATTGTGCGAATTTTTTCAAAAATTCCGGAGCTCCAAAATTGGAGACCCTGGACTATTTTCAATGGTTTACGCGTTTTCAATGAATATCTCGGAATCTAAGGCAGATAGCAAATTTTTTCTGATAAAATTGTCCCATAAAATGGCCATTTTACCCCCCATTTTGCCTCCCATAACCGTTGATGCGGTTGAATAATCTCTACAGGGGGAATTTCTAGAAGTATCCTATGATCGACCACTGCTACGACTGCGTTATCGTGGGGGCTGGAGGCGCCGGTCTCCGAGCGGCTTTCGGTCTTGGGAGTAAAGGCTATCGCGTTGCCGTTGTGACGAAGCTTTTTCCAACGCGGTCGCACACGGTGGCAGCCCAGGGGGGGATAAACGCTGCTATCAGCAATGCTGAAGCCGATAACTGGTTATTCCACATGTACGACACCGTCAAGGGATCGGACTGGCTCGGCGATCAGGATGCAATTCACTATTTGACGCGTGAAGCCCCGAAAGCTGTTTTTGAATTGGAAAATTATGGTGCATTTTTTAAACGGAGAGAAACTAGTAGGGTAAACTGCCCCGTAGATGGACGCCTAAGAAAACCCCCCAGGACATTTGTTTTTCAGCAACTGAAAAAAAAAATTGAGCGAAAAAAAATCGCTACTCAGGGATTAGAATCACAGCAGTTGGTGAAAATTTATTGGAAATGGGATAATTTAAATAGCCAAACCGGTAAAGAGGGCGGGGTAAAACGGGCACTTTAGATTTTTTTAAAATTATTCATGACTCAGAAACAAATTGATCAATTGAGCTCAGTTTAGGCTCGCCACGAAGCGAAAGAATTGTTCTTTGCAATGAAAAAAAAATTATGACATTTTATCAACATTTGAACCCGTCATTAACATTTTAAAAAAAGTCGAAAGTGTCCATTTTACCCCAACCTGCCCTACATTATGTGAAAAATTGAATCAACGTATTTTAAACCTTCATTAATGTAAGGGTCAAATCCTTGTAATATTGCAGAAATTTAGTACTGATGGGGATCCCAGATTCAAAGCAACAATTCACATTTCAGTATTTTTTGCGTAATTTCCTGTCCTAAGGTAGCTCGTCCATCTACTGGGCAGCTCACCCTATTCCCGATTATCACGCTAATACTCATGGATTTCATAGGCTGCCCATTCAGCCGCACAGACGACGGAAAAATCTACCAAAGAGCATTCGGAGGGCAGTCGTTGGACTTTGGTAACGGCGGACAGGCTCACCGGACGTGTGCAGTGTCCGATAGAACGGGACACGCACTCCTGCACACTCTCTACGGCCAGAGTCTGAAATACGATGTCCACTACTTCGTCGAATATTTCGCGCTCGATCTCCTCATGCAGGGGAGTCAGTGCAGGGGTGTTCTAGCTTGGGAACTCGAGACGGGATTGATGCATCGCTTCAGGGCCCATCATACGGTGATTGATTATTCCGCGACATTATAACGGACAATTTATCCATTGACAATTTTCCCGCCGATAATTTCCCTCGCATCCATCATTCCCGAGGTACGAAATAACCGCTGACAAATTTCCCGGAGGTTTCATTCAACTTCGATCCTCTTCTGAAAGAATATCAAGTGCAAAAAAGAAAAAAGTAACTCAGAATTCGGAGACACCATTCAATTCGCAATCGAATATCTCGGAATCTAAGCCAGATAGCAAAATTTTTGTTAAAACCTTTTTTGCAGCTCTCAATTCGCTCTACAAAAAAGGTAATTACAAAAATTTCGCTATCTCCCTTAGATTCGGAAATATTCCCCAAAAACTCAACTGGGAGATGACTCGACTTAAACCGTTTCACCACTTCGCTACTGAATTGTTTTCCCTCTTGAATTCTTCGATACGTTCGGGCGTATGAACCCGAAGAGAAATTTTTCACAGGTCCTGGCAACTGGTGGTGCTGGCAGATGCTTCTTCTCGTGCACTGGTGCCCACGCCTGCACTGGCGACGGTGCGGCACTGGCCTCCAGAGCGGGATTACCCCTTCAGGACATGGAATTCATTCAATTTCATCCAACGGGAATTTATGGCAGCGGAGTTCTGATAACGGAAGGAAGCAGAGGCGAAGGGGGAAGACTGATAAACTCCGAGGGCGAATTTTTCATGGAGAGATACGCCCCCAATGCCAAAGATCTCGCCTCTAGAGACGTTGTTTCGCGGGCTATTACTCTCGAGATTTTGGAGGGAAGGTAGACCTGACGACGTTCGATCGTTCCCGATGAAAATATTATTTCGTTTTTATTACAACAGAGGAGTCGGCGAGAAGAAAGACCACATGTACCTGCAGCTCCACCACCTCCCAGCGGAGACGATTCGATCGCGATTGCCGGGAATTTCGCATCTCGCGTGGGTTTTCGCGGGGGTCAACTGCGAGAAGGAACCTATTCCCATTATCCCCACAGTTCATTATAACATGGGTGGAATACCGACAAACTGGCGGGGCCAAGTGGTGACTCGTAAGAACGAGGAGGATTGCCCGGTCGAGGGCCTCTGGGCCGCAGGTGAAGCCGCCTGCACTTCGGTCCATGGGGCCAACAGACTTGGGGCGAATAGTCTTCTCGAGATCGTGGTATTTGGAAGGGCCGCTGCCGAACACATCGGCGAGCGCATTCTACCGAGAATGAAACATCCGGACATCCCTCAGGTTTATTAATCTTTGATAACATCAGAGACTAAATCAGTAGTGAAGGTAAACCGAGTTAAGTCGATTTTGACTTTTGATCAGTTTTTAATGAATATCTCAGAACCTAAGAGAGATAGCAAAATTTTTCTCATGACCTTTTTTGTAGAACCAATTCAGAGCTATAAAACGGTCATGACAAAAAATTTTCCATCTCTTTCAGATTCCGAGATATTCGTCAAAAACTGCTTCGCTACTGAAATGAGAACAGAGCTTTTCCCTTCAGTTACCTTGTCTCGAGAGTAAAAAAAAATTCGGCTCGAAATCTATCATTTTTATTCATGTTTCTGACCTGTTCTTGTAAAGAAGTCAGTCAAAATTACGGAACAATTCGCGTCATCCGCAATGGGAAACCGATTTCCGGCAATTTTTGTAGGAATGGAAGAGAAGAAATCTTAAATGTTCAGTGAAGTTTCAGTTTCATCACCGAACAAAGTACGAAATTGTCACGTAATTTTTCCCGAGGAAGTAAAATTCTACAGAAACTTGGCGACTTATTGTGCCTCGAAAATCAAAAATTCTTGAACGCTCAACAATTTTTACGAAGCTAGTGAGTTATTCCCACGTTGCGTTCCGTAAAATTTCTCAATCGTTGGGGAAAAATTACGGAACGACTTGTTGTCCCCCCAGCGGTGAGTCATCAGACCGGTGGTTAATTGTTACGGAAGAAATCGTAGAATTTACGTGGCGATTCGTACAATTTCAGCTCCGACTCACTTTTTATTGAATTTTACTTCGCTCGCGGATTACGTTTCGGAACGTAATTTTTACGTTTTTTTTTCTGGTAATTTTTGTTGAATTTTTCTCTCCTGGGGGGAATGCTTGCAATTGGATTATCAACTCAGGATCTGGGAGAGGAAACAATGCAGCGATTTGACGCGACCCGTTACGCTAAAGGTAAAACGGCTGTCGCAGAACTGCGAGAAGAAATGCAGAGGACGATGCAGCAGTTCTGTGGAGTCTTCAGGACTTGTGCAATACTGCAGAGAGGGTGCAGGGAAATGACGAGACTTTACACATGCGTTTTACCCGACATTAAGGTACCCCAAACTGAATTAAAGCCCCAATGCAATCTCACGTCGCAAAAGGGAATCCCAAGGTTTCCCGAGGTTTCGATGAAAAATTTTCAACACTGCATAATATTATTATTTATATCATCTTCACATTATTTATTTTACCTCTCTTTTTTATTCATTTGACAAAGTTGTTCATTTATTAAACGAGATTCACTCAAAATTGACGTCAAAAGTGGCATTCGACTTCCCCCATTCATTAAATGTCCTCTTTACTCAAGAATATCGTTATTTAGGTACAAGACGACTCTCTAATCTGGAACACAGAGTTGGTGGAGGCATTAGAGCTGCAGAACATGATGCTGTACAACATGCACACGGTATTCGCAGCTGAGAACCGAAAAGAATCGCGCGGGGCGCACGCACGTGACGATTACCCCGACCGAATCGATGAGTACGACTACAAAAAACCGATCGAGGAGCAAGCCAGACGACCGCTGATGGAGCACTGGAGGAAGCACACACTGACTTGGGCCCTGGATGACGGCTCGGTAGTATAAAAGACAGAGAAAAATACGAAGTGATTGAAAATTAAAAAAATAAAAACGTTCACGCTTCGCTCACAGATGTGCATTTCATACCGTCCGGTTATTGACACGACCCTCGACGAAGAAGAGGCGAAGCACGTGCCCCCAGCAATACGCGCATATTAATTAATTGTCTTGTTCAAACGAGATGCACTTCGAATCAATCATATTCAACTGGTCGAGGAGCGGATAGCTATGGAGTCAATGCAAATCGAATCTGTCGTGACCCCCGGGGGTGCCTCAGTATCAACTGATTCACCTCTCAATTATTCATTGGAACGCATTAATTAGAAGAGAGAATCTGTCGTTTTTTAATCGCGTAGACGTTGGTAATTTTTAAAGAATAAATCTTCAAATTGTGGAAATCTACTGCTGTACTGCTCTTTTTAATGATTAATTTCTGGTAATTTTATTCAATTAAATACATTTAATGCTCATTTTTTATTTTATCAATGTGGACAGAATTGACTGAACCAAAAGCAGAAGTCAGTGCATTTCTTCTGAATCTCACTATCAATTGACTGCCAACACCTGAATAATTGTTGCAAGACCCGCGTCCGAATTCGAAATTAAAAGAAGATAAGTGCATTTTTATCAAAATAAAAAATTTCTGCGTGAATGACATTGAAATATCAATTTTCAAATGGTAATAACAATATTACGAATTTCGGAAAAAATCGAGTGTATCCAAACGAAATCAACAAATCGCGAAAAAAATGACAGATCGCCTGATAGCCGGCATCGCGCACCTGGAGGCTATCGACAGCCGATTGAATTCCCATCGAACCTTATCAGCGACTCCACCATTTTCACCGGATAAACCGCGCAAAAACGGTCTCAATATCCACCCAAAAACCACCTAATTCTCCACACCTCCACTCAACCGACTAATCCACTGCTCTTGAAGAACAAATTCCCTCTGAATCTCACTATTAATCAGCCGCAAACACCTAAATAATTGTTGCAAGACCCGCGTCCGAATTAAAACTTAAAAGATAAATTCATTTTTACCAAAATAGAAAGTTTCCGCGTGAATGACATTGAAATATTAATTTTCAAATGGTAATAACAAAAATGACAGATCGCCTGATAGCCGGCATCGCGCACCTGGAGGCTATCGACAGCCGATTGAATTCCCATCGAACGTCAAATAATTGAGAACCCTCGCCTTATCAGCGACTCCACCATTTCCACCGGATAAACCGCGCAAAAACGGTCTCAATATCCACCCAAAAACCACCTCATTCTCCACACCTCCACTCAACCGGCCAATCCACTGCTCTTGAAGAACAAATTCCCTCTGAATCTCACTATTAATCAGCCGCAAACACCTCAATAATTGTTGCAAGACGCGCGCCCGAATTCAAAATTAAACGCGTCCAAATTCAAAATTAAAAGAAGATGAGTCCATTTAAAAAAAATGAAAAATTTCTGCGTGAATCATAGTGAAATACAATAATATAATGAAATCAACAAATCGCGAAAAAAATGACAGATCGCCTGATAGCCGGCATCGCGCACCTGGAGGCTATCGACAGCCGATTGAATTCCCATCGAACGTCAAATAATTGAGAACCCTCGCCTTATCAGCGACTCCACCATTTCCACCGGATAAACCGCGCAAAAACGGTCTCAATATCCACCCAAAAACCACCTAATTCTCCACACCTCCACTCAACCGACTAATCCACTGCTCTTGAAGAACAAATTCCCTCTGAATCTCACTATTAATCAGCCGCAAACACCTAAATAATTGTTGCAAGACCCGCGTCCGAATTAAAACTTAAAAGATAAATTCATTTTTACCAAAATAGAAAGTTTCCGCGTGAATGACATTGAAATATTAATTTTCAAATGGTAATAACAAAAATGACAGATCGCCTGATAGCCGGCATCGCGCACCTGGAGGCTATCCACAGCCGATTGAATTCCCATCGAACGTCAAATAATTGAGAACCCTCGCCTTATCAGCGACTCCGCCATTTCCACCGGATAAACCGCGCAAAAACGGTCTCAATATCCACCCAAAAACCACCTCATTCTCCACACCTGCACTCAACCGGCCAATCCACTGCTCTTGAAGAACAAATTCCCTCTGAATCTCACTATTAATCAGCCGCAAACACCTCAATAATTGTTGCAAGACCCGCGTCCGAATTCAAACTTAAACTCTCGCGCATTGGCAGCACTGTCAGCCAATCGCGCTCTCCCAACGGTACTCAACCATTGCTACCTTGTCTGCCGTGCGCCAAGTGCGGGAGAGAAAACGTGGATATAACTGTTCGGCGAGAGAGCATTGAAAAAGTATCAGAGAAATAGGGTTAGTCTGCTGGGGAGCCGCCAGTCTGTTCAATCCCGTGCTGGCAAATCCAATTTCACGGGGAGGTGGTGATTGTTATCCGCCAACGACAACACCAAACGCACCAGGATGAGTGGAATACTCAAGATCTCGTGTCTACTTGCGAGACAACCGAGTCGAACTGTGGTAGGACTTGAACTATTTATAAATTTATCATCATTTTCGTATCAGATTACATAATTAATTTTTTCGAATTCGCGAATGCACGGGGGAACTCCTGCGAACGCGTGCCTTTTCTGTTTTTTCGTTACGTAATTCTTGGGGTCCTGGGGTTATCAGGATGGGGCGTTTGAGGGCGGGGGGAGGGCGGCCAAAGGGTTGGCTCGGGGGGTAGTTCAGCCACCCACTCTATTTATTTTCATTTTTATTCGGCATTTGAGGCGGATGCAGACGGCCACAGCGAATGTTATTTTTAAAAATCACGGGACTGTATTGACTGACAACTAGTCGTCTCCGCGGTATCGGTCACATGTTAAATGCTGTTATCTAATTCATTGTGTGTCGGCATCTAATTGCACAGCCGAGAGTCCGTGCGGCGATTGCGCACAGCAAATCGCGTCAATTTCCTGGGGTTGCAAATTGTTTCAATCATTTTTCCTGGTCTTGAGGCTGCTGGGTCGACTGGGGGCAGAGGCTAGACCGTAATTAATTTGATTTGCAGCGCTGATATGCACGACGTTTGGAGTTATGAATGCACTCGTTAACACCGAAAGTTCTGTTTTGATAAACATTGGCGCTGAATGTTTTGGTCTCTTCGGCGAGAGAAAAACTCAATTTTCTTCTTTTATCGATAAGATAAAGCAATTCAGTAGTGAAGTGGTAAACCGAGTTGAGTCGATTTTGACTATTAGCCAGTTTTTGCTGAATATCTCGGAATCTAAGAGAGATAGCAAAATTTTTCTCATGACTTTTTTTATTACGCTCTATTGGCTCTACAAAAAAGGTCATGACAAAAATCTTTCTATCTCTTTTAGATTCCGAGATATTCGTCAAAAACTAGCCAATAGTAAAAAACGACTCAACTCGGTTTACCGCTTCGCTACTGAATTAACACTTCTATTTTTCATGCCGTAAGAAGAATAAGAAAAGTGAATAGATAAACGAAAATAAAAGTAACTAATTAAAAATGCAGTTGGGGAATTTGACAAAAGGAGAAATTTATGGGTCGATTTTGACTATTGGCCAGTTTTCAACTAATATCTCGGAATCTAAAGGAGATGGCAAAATTTTTGTTATAACCTTTTTTGTGGAGCCGGTTGAGAGCTACAACAAATGCGATTACGAAAATTTCGCTATCTCCCTTAGAAATCGAAATATTTCTCAAAAACTCAACTGGGGGATAAGTCCACTTAAGGATGTACTACACCCTTTCGGTCAAAATGGAGGTTTTTTTCATTTTCCTGGCGAATTATTGATCGGATTGACGCGAAATAATATACCGTTTTTGTGTTTTATCATTATTGATTGACTCACGAAGTTTCATGGCAGTGCAATCATTTTCTTACATTTTTTGTCAAGTTTTGTGAATTTCCGAAAAGTTTTAGAAAAAACGCAGGAAAATGATTGCACGATCATGAAATTTCGTGAGTCATTAAGTAATGATAAAGCGCAAAAACGGTATATTTTTTCACATCAATCCGATCAATAATTTACCAGAACAATTCAAAAAACGTGAATTTTTGCGAAAAGGGTGCAATACATCCTTAAACCGTTTTCTAACTTCGCTACCGAATTAAAAAAAATACGAAAAAATCAACGTTTGAGGGCATGATAATGCTGTATTGCAGAATAAATTGGGCATATCCGTAGTCACGAATCGCAAGTTCCACTACACGCCAGAGGGAAAATTTGCGAGTGTGTCAACGGGAATTTCAAAGGAATATCCAGTGGTTGATCACACGTATGACGCCGTTGTCGTTGGCGCCGGTGGTGCTGGGCTGCGTGCAGCCTATGGGCTCGTTGCCGAGGGCTTCAAAACAGCTGTTATCACCAAACTCTTCCCAACGAGGTCGCACACTGTGGCTGCACAGGGTGGCATAAATGCTGCACTTGGGAATATGGAGGAGGACAACTGGCAGTGGCACATGTACGACACGGTCAAGGGCTCGGACTGGCTCGGAGACCAGGATGCCATTCATTACATGACCAGGGAGGCACCCAAGGCTGTCATCGAGTTGGAGAACTGCGGAATGCCTTTCAGTCGCACTTCAGACGGTAATTATCACATAATACCAACAGTCTGTTGCATCTACTCTTCATTTCTAGAGTTTTCCGACACCAATTAGTTTTTTTCCTGCTTAATTCTGTTTTCATTCTTTTACCTCGCTCTTTAAAAGACGTTACATCATCAAATTGAAGTTTATATTGCAGATTTTTACGTAATTTACTGTTTTGTTTGTCATCTAGGCGCGTTTTTTCCCCCCTAACTTTGGATTTTGTGATATTTTTTTGTTTGATCCCCTGATGAGTTGCATTTACTATCAATTTCCAGAATTTTCTGAAGCCAATCAGTATTTTTCCGCATTTCTGTTCTAATTCTTCCGTTTCGCCTTCTGAAATAATTAGACCATGAAATTGAAGATTAATATTACAGGTTTTGCGCAATGTCCGTTCAGGGAGAGCTGGGGTAAAACGGACCCTTTTGACTCTTTTTCAATGTTTGAAAAAAGATTCCACTCCAAAGCGTCCATTTTGCCCCACTCACTTCTGCGTAATCATTTGGGTACCTTTTTAAAATTTTTACGAGGTGAAGACGACGATTTCCTCTCCCTGACTTTAGACCTTGCCCTCGCTCGTTTGCGACTCTTTTTCCTCTCCGAAATATTTTTCGATTTGGTCCGTTTGATTGCCAACGCACCATCAACGTATAATTTTCTCTCATCATCGGGCAAGGCTCGCCATTGTTGACCAGCCAGGCGAATCACATTGGAGGGTTGAACCACTTCATTTGTCTCGCGTAAATTCTGATTGCAAGGAAAATTTTACGAAATCTATTCATGAAGGAAATTTTGCAGCTGAAAATACCTGACGGAAGTCTTGAACGTAATTCAGAAAAGCATTTGGACTCTTCCAGTTCGTTTTATTGACAGTCACAGTTGAATTTGACAGAAATGAATTTGATACTGATGGCGAAGGATTCATCGAATTGTCACTGGAGCTTGAATTTGATCTCGACCTCGGGGACTTCCTCTCGGTAGTCTCCTGTGTGTCATCATCCAATGGCTCTTGATCAGCCGATTCCATTCTCCCTCAAGCCTCGAGGAAAGTAATTGCCCTTAAAAACGCACTTCCTAATTAGTCCAGCCGCTTGACATCTCCTTCGACAATTCAAAAGTACTAAAATTTCAGTGACGAAGTTGTTAATGGCGATGAAAATAATACGTAAAGCCGTTGCCTAGCGACGAATATTCGAGAACGACGTGAAGGACTCGGTCGGAATGCCAAACTGACAGATTTAATTTCAGTTTTCAATTAAAAAATGATGTTTCATAAATTACAAAACGAATTGTAGAATGGCTTACTTTAACGAGGCCATTATGTTGTTCGGGCAGAATAACTAATAACACACGATGATTGGCACTTTATGTGCAACACACATGAGGTTTTACGATAAACTCAATTACCTAGGGTTTTTCAGTGGTTCTTTAGCGAACTTTCTGATTTGAAATAATTTCCTTTGTACATTTTCAAATGGCACACAGTGAAATCCAGGAATAGTCACATCCATAAATTGTAATTAGCATTAAATTATTGAGTAATCAATTCCTTAATATCACTCTTAAATTTTAATTATTGAAGGAATGATCGATTTAAGTATTCAAATGCCGAATTATTCAGTAATTTAGCTAGGAACATTGACGATTAATTGAATAATCGAAAATCCCTTGTAAGAAATTTAGTATTATTTACTTAATAGAAAATTTAGAGTTCAACCCTTTAATAAAAAGTCCAGTGTAACGTTTTTCAAGCCAATCTGTGTATTTAGCGTATTGTGTCATTAGATTTTTTATAAATGATGATGATAGCATACATTAAAGATCTTGCGATAATACTGTATTATATTATATTCTATACTATACTATTTTAATGACTATTTTGCTATTTTTATTTTGATAATACATACAGTACGCTATTATATATTATTATTATCGTAATCATTTATAAATAATCTAATAATACAATACCCCGAATAGATTGGCATCGAAAAACGTTACAATGGATGTATTATATATTAAAAAAAAAAAATACACTTCTGAAACTTCTTCGGAAACCTGATTTTAACTTTAGAAATCTAATATAACCCTATTCACTACAATTGACATATATTAAGCCCCATGCAATAATAATAATACTAATCTACTACTATTAAATACTTAATTCATCATCAATTCGAAATTTCGATTACCAATTATTCGACTATTTTAAACTTTTGATTACTACATTTAACCCGCAATCAATGTAAGGATGTTCGACACCCTTTTATCCAAAATTGACGTTGTTTTCATTTTTCTGGCAAATTATCGATGGGAGTGACGTGAAAAAATATAACGATTTTGTGGTTTGTCATTCTTTAATGGCTCACGAAGTTGCGTAGTGGTGCGATAATTTTCATGCGTTTTTTCTACAGTTTTGTGATTCTTTTTAAAAGTTTAGAGAAAACGCAGGAAAATGTTCGCACCACCTTAAAATTTCGTCAGTCATTAAATAATGACAAAACGCAAAAACGTTATATTTTTCACGTCAATTCCATCATAAGTTTGCCAGAAAAATTAAAAGAACGTGAATTTTGGCAGAAAGAGTGTAGAACATCCGTAAGTCGTAAATTCCTTTGACATTGAAGAATGAAAAGCCTGCTGGCCATCCCTGAAACTCCTGAAATTGAATCCTCCCGAGTGCATGAAAGGTCCCCATCCCCCCAGTTTCGATCTACAAAAGCTGCTAAATTCCAGGTAAAATTTACCAACGAGCGTTCGGCGGCCAATCCCTGAAATTCGGCAAAGGGGGTCAGGCCCACAGATGCTGCTGCGTGGCAGACAGGACAGGCCACTCCCTCCTGCACACCCTGTACGGCCAGTCCCTGAGCTACGACTGCAACTACTTCGTCGAGTACTTCGCGCTGGACCTCCTGATGGAAGAGGGCGAGTGTCGCGGAGTGATAGCGCTGTGCCTGGAGGACGGCTCGATCCACCGATTCAAGGCCAAGAACACGGTCCTGGCGACAGGTGGCTACGGTCGCGCCTACTTCTCCTGCACCTCCGCGCACACCTGCACGGGCGACGGTACGGCGATGGTGACACGAGCAGGATTGCCGAACCAGGACCTGGAGTTCATTCAGTTCCACCCAACGGGGATCTACGGGGCAGGCTGCCTGATCACGGAGGGCAGCCGAGGAGAGGGCGGCTACCTCGTGAACAGCGAGGGCGAGCGTTTCATGGAGCGCTACGCCCCAGTGGCCAAAGACCTCGCCTCTCGAGACGTCGTGTCGAGGTCCATGACCATTGAAATCCGAGAGGGTCGAGGGGTGGGCCCCGAGAAAGATCACATTTACCTCCAGCTCCATCACCTGCCCCCGGAGCAGCTGGCAGCTCGACTCCCCGGCATCTCGGAGACTGCTATGATCTTCGCTGGAGTCGACGTCACCAGAGAGCCCATCCCAGTGCTGCCCACTGTGCACTACAACATGGGGGGAGTGCCAACGAACTACAAGGGGCAGGTGCTGACCACGAAAAATGGAGAGGACTCGGTCGTCAGGGGTCTCTACGCCTGCGGCGAGGCTGCCAGTGCATCGGTCCACGGCGCCAACCGACTCGGCGCCAATTCCCTCCTGGATCTCGTGGTGTTCGGGCGGGCGTGTGCCAAGACGATCGCTGCGGAGAACAAGCCAGGGGAGAAAATTGGAAGCCTCAGCACTCACGCGGGTGAAGCCTCTGTGGCGAATTTGGATAAAGTGAGGCATGCAAATGGCTCCATTTCCACGGCCGAGTTAAGACTGAATATGCAGAAGACCATGCAGACACATGCGGCTGTGTTCCGGGAGGAGGCGACCCTCCAGGAGGGCTGTCGCAAAATGTCGGATCTCTTCAAGAAGCAGAGTGACATTAAAGTCACCGATCGATCCCTCGTGTGGAACTCGGATCTCATTGAGACTCTCGAGCTGCAGAACTTGATGCTCAATGCCATGCAGACGATATTCGCTGCTGAGAACAGGAAGGAGAGTCGTGGGGCCCACGCCAGGGAGGACTTTAAGAACAGAGTTGATGAGTTTGATTACAGCAAGCCAATTGCTGATCAACAGCCTAAACCCGTGGATCAGCACTGGAGGAAGCACACGCTGACGACGATGGACAACGAAAAAGTGACGATCAACTACAGACCGGTGATAGATCATACGCTGGATGCTCAGGAGTGTGCGACGGTTCCCCCGGCGATTCGTTCGTATTAAGAAATGAAAATAGTCTGGCAAGCTTTATTTTCACAATTTTCACTGTAGATAGAACGAAAAACAACTGGTTTCTCCTTCCTCGGGGTGATCGAGCTGTAAAATACCAAAAGTATGGTCCCCACTCTCACATCAAAGCACATTTTTCTTTGCTCATGAAGAAATAGTCAGTCTCTTTTATCGAAGCTGTTTGTTGTCAGTTATCCTGGTGTTTTTTTTCTCATGTTGGCGAATATACTTGATGCATTGTGTGAGACAACTGATGCTGAGATTAGTCATGCTAACGATCTCATAAAATATTTCTTAGTATTCGTAAGAGTATTGGGGGGTTCTCTGTCTCTTGTTTGTACTTACCACAACAACGTAGCTAAGACCATTAAGTTATTCAGATTCAGACGAGGAATGAGGAGAAATTTTAATAGTATAAATAGAAACTTTTGAGGTTTCATAATTTCAGTCTCGAGATATTTATGGAGATGATAGTGCTACTGCGTTGTCTGAATTGTTATTAATACGACTGAGAGTGTTTTTTCGGGCCCTGAATCGTGGATTGAAATGAATATTGAGCACAAGTTGGAGCTGACTGATATTACTTTGAAAATCGATCAGAGATGTTGGATTGTCATTCACTCGCCAAATGATTGAGGAAATGGCAAGAGTGATCCAACGTCTGTAAGTGTAAATATTGTAAACGAGTTGGTTGTCAATAAATGACATTGATACAGCTTTTATAGTCAGACTTTATTGTTGTAATCATTTCCAGGAACTTCCAGTGTCATTACATGCGTAAGAATATACTGCCTCATCGCTGTGATGATTCACCATTTTTTTGAATTTTGATAATGCAAGGAATTTAATATAATTGACGATGCTACAAGCTATCAGTATTCGCTGATTCTATTGTTTAGAAAAGGAAAGAACAATCGATTCGAAAGATAAATGATAGTGATGGAATAATCTCATACTGTAGTTTATCGTTTATCGTTTAATAAATCATAAATAGTAATTTTACAAAAATGTTTGGATAATTAAATAGAAATTACAACGAAAGGTCAGTGTTTCCCGAAGCACACTAATAATTAAAACCTCACAATTTCAGTTTTAATACTTTAGAAAAAAAAATAAACTTACTGATTAGTGATACATTAACTTAGATGAGGATAAATTTTCGTGATTACGATTGAGAAATTCTTAAAAAATATCTCAAATTCCTGGCATACAAAAACATACATTACTCGACGAGGTGAGCTTTTTCACAAGTATTTCGAAATAATTCGTTAGTCTAATTCCAGTCAGTCAAAAGTATATTGAATCGTCATCATAAAATTTTGACAATAATAATTAAACTAGAATTGGCTAAGATTTTTATTCAAATACCAAGTCTTTCATAACGAGTATTCATTTTCACAACTCGTAAAGTGTGTGAATTCTCTCGAAACGAGAGTGCTTCAATGAGTTATCCCATTGAATCTCCTAATGATCCCAGCATTCACATGATTTTCTCTTCACTGATTCACTCAAAACAGCTCATACACAAATGTTGAAGAACGTGACACATCTAGGATTTACTTTACAATGAAGTACGTCATCTCTAGTCATGAATGTAGCACGTGTGGATGATAATTTCTAAGACATTTGCATTCCTCGTGATGTCAATATTTCGTCGGATGGCATTCGAACACTGAATTTATGAGTTAAAAATTTACAATTTTCCTATACCCATTGCGCACTCGTTGGTGAATTTTCTCATGTGTTTTCACATGCAGATCTACAAGTCATTCTGATGTGCCTATCTACACACAATCACACATTAGATTTTACATGCGCAACCGGCGTGTTATTTCCCCCTAATTTTCCACCATATCAATTAAATGAGAATGAAAGGAAGTTCTCAAACCTCGTTGGTTATATAATAACCGCGTACAGCATTCATTCTTAAAGTCGCACATATACCAATGGGTTTTAATTTTAAATGTCAATGAAATTGTGACACGATAATGAATGGCGATGGTTTTCTGCTTTTAAGTCTTGTGCATTTCTTCAGCGTGTCTAAGCTCATCGAGACGCCGCCGTTGACCACCACCAGTTCACGATGTGGCGCGTAATTTCTCAAGCGCTGGTACCAAACTCTCGTCGAGTGAGGGACCACAACTCAGGCCGCACTCGCCGATCCATCGGGCTTTGCCACTCGCATGGGACTGTAAAACAAAAAATAAGTCCCTTGTCAGAGCAGTTGGAGCGAGATAGAAAAAACATTGTCGATATTAATCGTTCATTTGCAATTCAATGTCAGGTGACAGACGAAAAAAGCTATCCTTCGGGGACGCTGTTACGAGCGTCTTCCGTGCTAATTTTGAAATGTTTTATAAGAAGATTGCATACAGAGCAGAAGCAATAAAACGTCCATAAACCACAATGAGAATAGTGTGTCATGTCATTGAGGTCTTTTTACGTTACTGCATTGTTACTACGTCCTTATCGATTTTTATACGTATCTAATAGCCAGTTGATGGGACAACGGCCATTTCTCGCCTCTCTCTTCATCGCAAACCCTTGAACTTATCAGGGAACGCGCGTTACCATGCGACCTCCGTATTTATTGATACGATGCGTTTTTAATTTCAGTTTTATTTACTTTTATTATCATTGTCCTCGCAACTACTCGTATCATTTCTGGTAATAATTCACTAGATATGAGTGGGACAATGTGGACACTTTCTAAGAAAATTGGAAGCGAAGAAATCGAATTTATTGAACTTCACTCACTCATAGATGTTTTATAAATATTGATAATGACTTGAAGAGAATTAAGAGAATGAAGAGTGAAACATCAATGAATAATTTTTAATCTTCGATTAATTATTTTTTTTTTAGATTTCAAAACAATCTGATTGAATTCTGTAATTGTTGAAAAATGAGGGGAGGGTTATGAATTGATTTCCTAGAGAACTGAAAAAATTTCTCGAATTATTTGGGAAACCGAAGAATTTTCATGAATTTTGTAGAGTTTAGAATTTATGTATGAAAATCTGAGAACCAAGAATTGATCATTTTTGAGTGTGATAAATATGAAAAAATAAAAATTTGGGAAGTGAAGAATAATTTGAGTTGAAAAAATTTAGAAATACTGTTTTTTTCTCATGATCAACAATTAGGCAATTTAAATATATTTTGATATAAAACTAAACTTCGCACATGAAAAAATGATAAATATGACGCAGAAAAAATTTTTGGCATTTGAAGAATTTGAAAATACCGGGGATTTTTTTTCCAGCGACTGTTTCACGCGACTCATTAACCAATCAGAATTGAGGATTAGCGATCAGCCAGTTTCGAGATATTTTATATTTCTCCATAATTTCCGCCGTTTAGCTATCCATATGTTACGAGGAATCTGCGAATAGGGAAATCAGAAAGAATTGGGCTTCATGCAAGTTGCCTATTCAACTCCCGTCTGACTGAATCATTAAGCCATTTTTCTCTGAATTGATTCCCCCTGAAATTCCTTACTCATTGCTGCGATCCGTTGAATGCCAGTTTTATAAACATTTATTATTATTGCCGTCATAATCATGCTCTTACCATGGTGAGATTACGTTTCCAGGAGGCATGACACCGCCCATCGCACAGCGGGCACGGTCGCTGGAGTGAATAGCCACCGCATTCACTGCAATCAAGAGACACGTGCTCCTCACTCCACGAAACACCGCATCTGCAAAGACATTCAGAATAATTAATAACAAAAACTTGCCATCGATTGTTTACGTCAAAGTTGAATTGTCAATGTTTCCCCGTTTTTTACTGCCGCTATTTTCCTCCCGATAAACTTCGAGAAAGAGCCGCCACGAAATTACCTTACTCCGGATCGTACCGGATTTCATTGACAATGGAATGCCAGCCGAGTTATTTTGTGTTGCGCAATTACTACGCTTCGAATTGCGACAGCCACAAGCAGGGCATTCCAGTCGTCTCAATCTCATTACAAATATCTGGATAATTGTTTTGGGTAAATACAAGGGGCTTACGTAAAGCAGGAGTTCAATTGAGCCCGAAGCTCCTCAATCGTCAGAATAGTGTCCTGGTACTGGCGATGAGAATCTTGGAGTCCATCGTCCACACTTCCGGTCAGACTGTGGTGCGATAGAGAAATGTTGCTCCTGAACACACAATTATTGAAATTGTTACGACATCATTCGGGACAACCAAAATAATTTGAGTAAATACAATCGATAAGTTTCAATGTGAAGCGATGATCATTAAAGAATAGATAAGAAAGAAATAATTGAAATATTGACATTGTTACGACATCATTCGGAACATGTTCACGAATAATACGACATCATTCGGAACATGTTCACGAATAATACACTGACAAAATAAATGTTTTTGAGGAATACGTATTTACTTACGTCAAGAAACTTCTGACTTGAAAATTGTCAAGAGTAAAATATCTTGCGCTAAGAAAAAAAACATTCGTTCAAGTAATTTTGTACTTGTCCTAAATACGAGGACATTTCTTGATGAATAAAGCGATTTCTCAAATCAAGTCAAATTGAATTAATTCATTTAATAGTTTGTTAGCCTCGATTCTAAAATATTTTAGTGCCACGAATTTCTTGATACAAGTAAAGAAATACTTCTCAAAAAATACTTGTTTTCTCTGTGTGGAATAATTTGAGTAAATACAACTGATAAGTTTCATTGTGAAGCGATGATCATTAAAAAATAATTAAGAATGAAAGAAGATACGTTAGGTCATCAAGAAGAATTCCTTTTTTTCCGAACTTTCAATAGACTTCAGTGAAGTCCTCGAGGTAACGCGAAGAAATGACTTAGTTATGTGATAATTTTTTATATGAATTCTAAATTGACTGAGTGTAAGAAATGAATCTATCAAGCTATTTCTTCAGGGTAAAAAACGAAACGCGCAGCGTTGAGTTGACAATCGCGCCTAAGCCGATCTTCGTTCTCCAACTCATTACGAAAAAAAAATCGATGAATAGCATCGTCTTACGTAACACTACCGCGAATCCGTAATATTGAATCGCGTGAACCGCAGCTCTCCCAATACTCGGCGTGCAGGCAACTCAGAAATGATAACGAATTATAATTTCATTCTTGAACCTGAAGCGGGCACGATCATGCCTTTGACTCGTGCTCTATGATAATGTGGAAACGCGCAACGAGTGCTTGAGGTACCAGTGTCCATACGCTCCCACGTGATATCCCCAGTAATTAACGCGATAATTTATCGAATTCAATAGGGATAAGGACAGTTCAGGAATATGCATGAACAGGTATCAGTTTTTTTCCCTCACACGCAATTTTTTTCACAATTTACTTTCCTCATCCGTCAATTTCCCAGCACTAATGCGCATCTATCGACTGCATTGAACGAGGGCTTGAAAGCTGTCGCATTTCGCCGATCTGTGAATCCCGGGCATGAGAGGGAGAAAAAAAATCATACGAGTGGATGACGCACGAGCGTGCTGTAACACGTGGAGAATGAATTTCCGCGTTTAGTGGATTTATATATAGATGACAGACGTGAGCTGTCGATGTGAGATGCATTTCTGAGGTTTATTATGGAACATTTGAGACTATAATAAGATCCACCGATTCGTGTGATTCTGATGAATGAAAGAATTGCATTTTAAAGCCACAAAAAATAGAACGACACTGCAAATTATAGACACCTCTTTATTCTAATTTTTTTCTCAATTTAATTATCGTTTTGGTTTTCCAAAGAAGAAATGTTTAAAAATCAGGATTTAAGCCAGTGTCTCATGTGAAAATCAACATTTCCATTGTAATCAAAGATTAAAATCTGAATTTTTTTCATTAGATGTGAAAAAATCAAGAATTTTTTTTTGACACCTCATAAAAAATAATCCACCGTTTTGCAAACAAGTTTTATTATTTATTTATAAGAGGGAAATGTTTGAAAAAATATCAATATTTTACGAAATTTAATTTAGATAATACTGACTGGGTATGAATTTTTTCAAATTTTTTCCATGCAATTTAGTTGAAAAATTAGTTTATTCATTTTTGCCGAGACTACTGCAATTAATTTTTTTAACGTCAGAAAAATTAGTTTTATATGTTCTGCTGTCAGCCGAAAACCTTACAGAATTTTCCTTAATCATTAAAAATGAAAAATTAACCGACAATTTACCGACATGGCTAAACATCCTTAAGACTCAAGTAAATTATCTAAAAACGAAGAATGTGCTCTATGACACTGTATTAAATTGAATACGATGAAATTCTTTTAAAGCAGAATAAACCAACAGATTTGAATGCCCAAATAAAAAAAAAGCCCCAAAAAATTCGCTTCGAATTGGAAAAAAAATTAATTCAAAAACGAACCGTTTAACTGCCGCGTTAAATAAACAAATATCTTACCCGTGACGAGAGAGGCTCTCGGTGTTGGTTTGAACTGATGTCACAGACATGCTACCGACTTGGTTCGACACTCCAACTGAAACACAAGAATAGAAGACCATTTATAATTAAACTCCACACTCACACCCAATTATTTTTATTTTCCCAAGGCAATCCATGCAATTCCGATGATATCTCTATCCACTTCGACCTTGCCAATCGCCTTCCACTTTCGCTTTCTGTGAAAAGAAAGTGACGATCCACACCTTCCACCAAATAGACCTGTATCTCTCTTTTTTTCAGCTCCTCATTACTTGCGCAATGCCGAGAGCCCTGACGTTTAAAAACTGCATCGTACATGTCCAACGTCTCTCTGAAGATGAGAAATAGGATGCGACAAGGACTCGGAGGGATGCCCTTGCACGATAAACTCAGCCACGTGCCCTTCGAAACCGCCGGAGGGAGGATCGTGACAAGGCTGAGTGGAATCGAGAGTATTTCATTTTTTCTGCCTCTCATTTGCATAAGATCACGCAAACTTTTCATTCGATAGGGAACGAGATATGAGGAAATAAAAAACAATGAACGACATTAAGGTAAGCCTTGGGATGCAGCGGTGTGGAACAATCGAGGGGACTGAATGTCGATCGATGAAGCGCTCACAACTGGAAATAAATATTTCAGGAAATGTCGAATGCCGAAAATTGTTGCGCAACACAAGACCATTAGTCGCAATGATTTATGCAAGAGGAAATTTAGTCCCACGGACGCTCCTCAAAATATATTCAAACGAAGGAGAGAGATATTAATGTGTTGGAAATCGATAATTGTGTCGTCTCAATCGACCATAATAAACTCAAGTTTAATTATAATTACAAATGCACCGGTGGATAAAAATAAGTGGCCCAGCTCGACCTGATTCGCCGGGGGCTGTGAATGTGTCGCCTAGCAAGTGATAGAAAGACGCCGTAAGTTGCGGTTCACTGCTTCGTTCAATTATGTATCAACTCAAGAGCCATCAACTGTACCGTCAATTAATTATGAAATTCTGACCTTTTTGAGGTAGTCAGTGACCTTCAGAAATTAATTAGCGATCGAGTTGTCTTGAGAGCTAAATGTTCTTTAGGTCCGAGCGAAACGCAGAGGTGCACTGAGAAGACAAGAGTTCTTTAATAGAAATTTTTTATACAAATTATTTCTATACGATTTCTATCGTTTTGATCCTATATGACCCACTGCCACAAGTATAGAAACATTTCGTATGGAATTGCGACATTTCTCTGCGTTTTTCTCGGGAGCGTTTGGACATCTTTCGTATGAAAACAAAAATTTATGTAAACATTTATGTATTATTACCATTTGAAAATTAATATTTCATTGCCATTCAGGCAAAAAAATTTATGGTGTTTTTTAATGCACTCATCTCCTTTTACCACTTCGCTACTGAATTGGTTCACATCAAGATAAAATATTATAGAATCGAGGCTAAAAAACTAGTACATGAATTAATTCAATTTCACTTGATTTCAGAAATCATTTTCTTGTTATCAAAAAATTGACCTGGCCTTCAGAACAAGTCCAAAATTTCTTGACAATCATTATTTTTCTCAGCGCAAGATATTTTCCGAAGGAACTTTAAAGTTCCGGATTTTAAAAATCCGCGATAATACCACCTCGCAACAGTGACGTCTCCGAAGAGCCTAGAGCTGAATATATCAAGGGCTGATGACGTTTCGGGCTACGTCACACCCTAGTCAATATCGATTCTTCCACTCAGCGGATTGAACTGTTAAAAAATAGAAGAGGTGAGAACGCTCTTGGCACGAACTATCCCGGATAAATGACAAAGTTCGAGCGTTCACGTGGGAACCTTGCGAGAATATTAATAGTTGAATCCCAAAAACCGGATAATCTCTACAACCGAGTGTACTCATAGGATTAGAGGGATGAAATTAGACGTCGCGACAGTGTCTCGAGCTCTGGCAATCTTCCTACGACTCATCACCCAGTTCTACACGTGACCATATCGTTCAGACTGCTTTTCTATCTATTAATTTACGTTTGGGCCCATCTAAAATAGCTTCAGGATAAATTTCTCGCGCTGAAAAACTGGAGGAGTCACCCCACTCGTCATTACCCTCCGATAAAAATGAGATGAAACGCTAACGACGACTGATGTAAATAGGAAAAGCGTAAGAAACATAAACGCGAAATGAATAAATAAATAAATTAGCAAAGTGCATTGGCAATGGTGACCTGGATGACCCGAACTGCCGTCAGAATGAGGTCAACAAGTCTCTCTGCGCCCCAGGTTCTTCCCAAAAAATATATAATATGTGCCAATTCCGTATATTTTCCAAATTTATTAAGAAAATATAGGGGAGAGTGGGGTAAAACGGCCCCTTTTGATTTTTTCAAAAATGTTAACAACTCATTCAATTTTAAACAAAATGGAATAATTTTTTTTCTATGGAAATTACACTTCTTCCCCTTTAGAATGAGCCTAGACTGATCTCAATTAATGAATTTGTTTATGTTAAGTTATGAGTATCACAAAAAAAGTCAAAAGGGGCCGTTTTACCCCCTCTCCCGTATAAGAAATACATAAAACATATATTTTATACATGTTTTTTAAATAACTTGGGCCAATTTAAGGTATCGTTTTACATATTTTTCAAAATATAAATTTTTCCGTGCGTTCTTCCGTTTAATATTGCCGTTTGCAATTACTCACTATCAAATAATCGATCTCGTGTTTACATTTCGTAATTATCCACGTGATTCGAGGGACGCCACTCCAAGAGTCCTGATACTTGAGGAATAATCGATGCAATGCAGATGCAAAAATCGTGTCGAGATTGCGGGGCATTTATATAAGATAGAACGTACGATTTATCGCGTTCAATCTCCCTCTGCAGGGTCTTCTGTTGCATAATCCACCGATAAAGTAATGGGTAAATCGAGAGAATAACGCCGAGTAATTAAATTTTTTCACGAATAAACGACACCCAGCTACGTCAACTTCATTAACTATCCCCAGACGTGTCTGAAATAATAATCTACCAGAGAACTGAATGATAAATGTAACGGAACTTGCTGAGAGTCATGCCTATCTAGTCGTGAGGACACAAGTGACCTCGTTGAAATCATTATTCACGATCCAAGCGTCCGCAATCATGATTTAACTTGGTAATTGTCAATCATTCCAGATAGCGAGTATCAAACAACCAGATATAAGTTGAATACTTTTTACATCTACCGTGAATCAACATAAATAATCCCAAGCACAGGACTAGCATAAAAAACTAATTCGCTCCATCGATTTCCTCCATTTCTGGTGTTTCAACAACTAAAAAGGGACTGAGGCGCGTGCATTTAGTCCGCATTCTATCGACTTGAGGCTGCCCCGAACCCACCCGAACACCGTTGCCTGTAACCCGTTTCGCCGATACCCAGCGCGCTGTTACAGTATTGATTCCCACGCAAGTACCAACTGCACCGAGTGCACCACATTAATTTCACGAAATTTCGATTTATTTTCAAACAGATAATCGAAATAATGAAAAGAAAAACATTAAATTTATCAAGGTATTAAAATTAAATTCGAGAGTGCATGGTAAGGCATAATCGTCGCGACGGAGACGGAGACGCGGCTGATATGAACCCCACAATGCCCCGATAATATAAAGGTTTTTCTTTTCTTTCCCTGGGCTGCTATTAACGCATTTAAACCTCCTTGAGACATCTCGTATTATACGATGAATGCTCACTTAGATGAACGGGTGTCCCCCAACGGCACCTTTCCTTCTAAACGAAATAATTCGCCGATATCTCTGCAGAACCGTAAACCATCCTATTGGCACTTTCTCGTATCACGAAGTGACTGCGATGCTAACGAGTGAAAAAGGGTCAGTGAAAGCGCCTTATCCTCGGCACGACATTCAAGGCTCAGCATTTCGTCGAGTGAAAGAATGAAAATGCACGTCAACATTGCGCACAATGAACTTACTCAGATTAATCCTGAATAGATCCGCAAGATGCTCTCCCGCACTTGAATAAATTTTTCAAAACTGTCTCTCCCAAAAATCACTGGCGCACGTTTTGTTTTTACAAATATATCGACTGTTTTGGTGGCTGAAGGATTGTGGGAACCTCTAAATGCCACGGAGGTGAGCGAAATCACACTGAGCGAGTGTTCGCGGGGCATTGGGGTTTTATAAACGCGCGCCGCGGGTGGGGTTGAACACACGGCTAGAGGAGGAGAGGGACGTCCAGACGTTGGAGTGTCGTTGCACGTCGGTCAGAGGGAGACGGAGCATGTGTGCACAGGCTCTCGAGGCGCCACAAAGGTGCAATTTTGCATTGTACGTCACAGTCCTCTTCTACTAGTGTAAATACTCCGATAGCCTGCGTAGTAAGTGACTTTGTTCAGTCATTTGTGGAGAAAAGGACACTGAGTCCTCCAGCCTCCGCTGCTCTGACGCTTATCCTCATTTTTTTTTCAGCTATTGGGTGTTCTTGATTGCACGTCACCGACGATAACATTTCGTCACAATTAAAAGCGAGGGATTAATACACGTGTGTTTGATGACAGTTGAGAGGGGGCTCAATGATATTACTGTAATGTATACAATCGGTTGATTTGCGATATGTAAGTTGAGTTAAAAATACAGGGATAACAAATTCTGGGCAAAATAACATGTCGAAATGGTGAAATTTTGGGAGGGATTTAATAGGGGGATTTAATGCGTGTTTGATGACAGTTAAGAAGGGGCTCAATGATATTACTGTAATGCATACAATTATTTGATTTGTGACGCTCCAGTTGAGTAAAAAATACAGGGATAACATTAAAATAGCTCTACCCTTACGGTAAATTCAAAGATTATTGAAGACTGCAAAAAAATTGCAGAAATCTCGATTAGATTCGGAATTCTAATTTTTTTCTCAATTTAATTATCGTTTTGGTTTTTCAAAGAAATGTTTAAAAATCAGGATTTAACTCAGTGTTTTATGTGAAAATCAATATTTCCATTGTAATCAAAGATTAAAATCTGAATTTTTTTTCATTAGATGAGAAAAAATCAAGAATTTTTT